TGTCAGTTTTCCAGGCTTTCATCAATGACGTCTTGAGGGACATGATAGGCAAATTCTTGATGGCCTACATAGACAATATCTGGATATATTCACCAGACCAAAAAACCCATGTTGAACATGTCCATTTGGTTTTTAGATGTTTACTGGAAAATATACTGGAACATCAAAGGAGAGAAGTGTGTTTCATATTCAGAGAGTGGCCTTCTTAGGTTATGTCATCAGTCCTAATGGTGTAGTAATGGATGATCACAAAGTTCAAGGAGTGGTTAACTCGCCTCAACCTACTTCTGTAAAGGAACTACAAAGATTTCTAGGTTTTTCCAATTTCTACAGATGCTTCATCTATAATTTCAGTGTAATTACAGCTCCTTTGACAGCGCTCCTAAAGGATGCTAAGAGAATACATTGGACACCCAAAGCAGAGCAGGCATTCAGTAATTTGAAGGAGGCTTTCACCTCTGCTGCCCATTCTGAAACACCCTGACCCTGCAGAACTGTTTGGAGAGGAAGTAGATGCGCCAGAAACTGGTATAGGTGCCGTTTGGTCCCGACTCTGTAGTAGTCCACCTAAATTACATCCTGTTGCTTTCTTTTCTCATAAACTCACATTGACAGAAAGGAATTATGGTATAGGAGATCGAGGACTCTCAGCACTTAAATTGGCACTCGAGGAATTGAGACATTGGCTAGAGGGAGCTAATCATGCTTTTGTTGTCCTCACCAACCACAAAAACCTAGAATATTTCCATACTGCCAAGCATTTGAACCCCCGACAAACATTCCTCCAGGAAAGAAATATGTCCCACAACAATTTCGTGACAAGCTTATCACTTAGGCCCACTCCTCACTAAATTCAGGACATCGAGGAGAAACACATACACAGCAACTTCTTTCTAATCGTTTTTGGTGGGAACACTGATGTTCACAGATTCATAGCATCTTGTTGTGATTGTTCACAATGTAAGACCCTGAAAATGCTACCGTTCAGAAAACTTATACCTTTACCTGGGCCTGCTAGACCCTGGTCACATATACCAATAGAGGTTGTGACCTTTCAAACTGCAGTGAAATGAGTTAGTCAAGTATTCACATATTTTGGAATTCCTAAAGATGTTTTGTCTGATAGGGGTCCCCAGTTCACCTCTCAAATATGGCCCTCTTTTTTGAACAAACTGGGGCCTCTGTGAATCTGTCATCCAGATATACCAGATATTGAATAAACTCATTTGCATAAATGCATTTCTGTATGGTACATTTCTATATGTAATGTTTCCCCATACATTTTAAGATATATTTGGTTAACATGGCAACATATTCTGAAATACATTTTTTAGTTTGGATTGTATTTCAGTGTGAAATGTATTTCAAATACATAAAAAATACATGTCCATATATTTTTTTTCAATATGGGTAAGGAGATTATATTGGCTATTTCAATATAACTGATAGAGGTCCCAGTTTTATCTTTTGTTTTACTGCTATTCAAAAACCAAAAATCTGAGTCACAAATTGATGCAAGATTCAGCAGGGGGGTTTGTTGCCCCAGAAAAAAATAACATTTTCTGTTTTGTACTATAAAAGCAGAACTTTCTGTCCTCCAGTTTATTTCCACTAACTGTGTTTATATATCATCATCCTGTACATGCTAAACTTACCCACGTATGACAACTTAAAAAACAGACTTTTTCAAATATTTGTTTAAATATTAACATAATGAACAAATATTAACACCCTAGCAGTCAACGTGTTCAAGGGAGGCTGATTTTGCGTAGGAGTGAAAGTACTGTAACTTAAACCTGGCCACACAGGACAGTGTAAATATGTCACGCTAGACTGAACTGCGTAAATACAGCTATTACACTATTACACATGCTTCATTTGTAATTTCAGGCTAATCACAGCGCTCCTAAAGGATGCTAAGAGAATACATTGGACACCCAAAGCAGAGCAGGCATTCGGTTCTTTGAAGGAGGCTTTCAGCTCTGCCCCTATTCTGAAACACCCTGACCCTGAAAAACTGTTTGTAGTGAAAGTAGATGCGCCAGAAACTGGTATAGGTGCCGTTTGGTCCCGACTCTGTAGTAGTCCACCTAAATTACATCCTGTTGCTTTCTTTTCTCATAAACTCACATTGACAGAAAGGAATTATGGTATAGGAGATCGAGGACTCTCAGCACTTAAATTGGCACTCGAGGAATTGAGACATTGGCTAGAGGGAGCTAATCATGCTTTTGTTGTCCTCACCGACCACAAAAACCTAGAATATTTCCATACTGCCAAGCATTTGAACCCCCGACAAACACGCTGGTTTTTGTTTTTCTCATGTTTCAAATTCAGTATTACCTGTCGCCCAGGTTTCCGGAACACTAAAGCAGACACAATATAATGCATGCATCATTAGAATGAGGGGGAACCAGCTAACATTTCTTACCCCTAATGTTTCTTAATATCTTCCATTCATTGGGAGATTGATGAAAAAAATCATGCGTTAGAGATAATTCCACCACCTATTCAGCGTCCTCCAGGAAAGACATAAGTCCCACAACAATTTTCTGTCCTCCAATTTATTTCCACTAACTGTGTTTATATATCATCATCCTGTACATGCTAAACTTACTCACATATGACTTAACTTAAAAAACAGACTTTTTAAAACAAATATTAACATAATGAACAAATATTAACACCCTAGCAGTCAACAGTTGTTGGCACACTTTGTGTTTAACAGAGGCTGATTTTGGGTAGGAGTGAAAGCACTGTAACTTAAACCTGGCCACACAGGACAGTGTAAATATGTCACGCTAGACTGAACTGAGTAAATACAGCTACTGATATACCCACCCCTGATATATATGATACGTGTATTTTGTGTTTCCTCATGGTTTCTGCTTTGACCCAGAGATGTATAAATAGGCTACTGTTTCTCAGACTGGACATTCTTCATCTACACCTCCAACACTGAGACGTTCATATTAAGAAGAAAGATGGGGGGCCTCCGCCCTTGTATAGATAGGGTCGTAACCAGATCACAAAAAAGTATCCATACTCACTTCCCTTAATCACAGTAACCTTAGAAGAATTACATGGAGCAAAATTTTTAACTAAATTAAAACTCAGAAGTGCTTAGAGTCTTCTTAGAATCCGTGAGGGAGATAAATTAAAACAGTCTTTGTGACCTCTAGGGGGCACTATGAGTACCTAGTCATGCTGTTTGGTCTGCCTAATGCTTTGTCAGTTTTCCAGGCTTTCATCAATGACGTCTTGAGGGCAAATTCGTAATAGCCTACATAGACAATATCTGGATATATTCACCAGACCAAAAAACCCACGCCGAACACGTCCATTTGGTTTTTAGATGTTTGCTGGAAAATATCCAGAACATCAAAGGAGAGAAGTGTGTTTCATATTCAGAGAGTGGCCTTCTTAGGTTATAGCATCAGTCCGAATGGCGTAGTAATGGATGATCACAAAGTTCAAGCAGTGCTTAACTTGCCTCAACCTACTTCTGTAAAAGAACTGCAAAGATTTCTAGGTTTTTCACAGCTCCTTTGAGAGCGCTCCTAAAGGACACTCCTAATAGAATACAGAGCAGGCATTTGGTTCTTTGAAGGAGGCTTTCACCTCTGCCCCCATTCTGAAACACCCTGACCCTGAAAAACTGTTTGTAGTGGAAACAGATGCGCCAGAAACTGGTATAGGTGCCGTTTGGTCCCAACTCTGTAGTAGTCCACCTAAATTACATCCTGTTGCTTTCTTTTCTCATAATCTCACATTGACAGAAAGCAATTGTAGTATAAGGGATTGATGACTCTCAGCAGTTAAATTGGCACTTGAGGAATTGAGACATTGGCTAGAGGGAGCTAATCATGCTTTTGTTGTCCTCACCGACCACAAAAACCTAGAATATTTCCATAACGCCAAGCATTTGAACCCCCGACAAACATGCTGGTCTTTGTTTTTCTCATGTTTCAAATTCAGTATTACCTGTCACCCAGGTTCCCGGAACACTAAAGCAGACACAATATCACGCATGCATCATTAGAATGAGGGGGAACCTGCTAACATTTCTTACCCCTAATGTTTCTTAATATCTTCCATTCATTGGGAGATTGATGAAGAAATCGATCATGCATTAGAGATAATTCCACCACCTAGTCAGCATCCTCCAGGAAAAGTCCCACAACAATTTTCTGTCCTCCAATTTATTTCCACTAACTGTGTTTATATATCATCATCCTGTACATGATGTTTGTCTGATAGGGGTCCCCAGTTCACCTCTCAAATATGGCCCTCTTTTTTTGAACAAACTGGGGCCTCTGTGAATCTGTCATCGATATATACCAGATATTTGATAAACTCATTTGCATAAATGCATTTCTGCATGGTACATTTCTATGTATAATATTTCCCCATACATTTTAAAATAAATGCATTCTAAAATATATTTGGTTAACATGGCAACATATTCTGAAATACATTTTTTAGTTTGTATTTCAGTGTGAAATGTATTTTAAATACATAAAAATACATGTCCATATATTTTTTTCCCATATGGGTAAGGAGATTATATTGGCTATTTCAATATAATTGATAGAGGTTCCAGTTTTATCTTTTGTTTTACTGCTATTCAAAAACCAAAAATCTGAGTCACAAATTGAAGCAAGATTCAGCAGGGAGGGTTTGTTGCCCCAGAAAAATAACATTTTCTGTTTTGTACTATAAAAGCAGAACTTTCTGTCCTCCAGTTAATTTCCAATAACTGTGTTTATACATCATCATACATAAGACTTAAACCAAATATTAACATAATGAACAAATATTGACATCCTACTAGTCAAGCGTTGTTGGCACACTTTGTGTTTAACAGAGGCTGATTTTGGGTAGGAGTGAAAGTACTGTAACTTAAACCTGGCCACACAGGACAGTGTAAATATGTCACGCTAGACTGAACTGAGTAAATACAGCTACTGATATACCCACCCCTGATATATATGATACGTGTATTTTGTGTTTCCTTGTGGTTTCTGCTTTGACCCAGAGATGTATAAATAGGCTACTGTTTCTCAGACTGGACATTCCTTATCTACACCTCCAACACTGAGACGTCCATCCAGACAAACACAACTGCAAACAAAAAACACCGGCAGCAGAGCAGGTACTTTAATTTTGTCTCATTAAAAAACATTTTGCGTAATGTGCCATATTGTTATGAATAATTATTTAACTAATTTTTATGCAGATTTATCTACAAAGATGTCGTCTGTGCTGTGCTTTGGATTTCTGTTGATATGTCTGTCAACAAATCTGGTCCCCTGTGAATCCAAATCAGGTGGGTAAATTCTACATATAGAGAAACAAAATAAATACACCTGCTGCTGTGCCGCTTAAATTCAATTATATATATATATATATATTCTTGTTGCTTCTTTTCTTGAGTGCCTTGCTCTCCCTTTGCTGCTGTAGCACTGTGAATTTTCCTGTTGCAGGACTAATAAAGGATTAACTTATCTTAATTGATCTGAACTGCTAGTTAAAATGTGTGTGACACAGGTGGAGAAACGTCCTAATAGGAATAAATTTGTGGCTCAAAACTGTAAAAAATCCAAGAGAAGATTATTGATCTGTTTGTCATTTGTTACTCTGATAGATCTCAAGGAGATACCTGACCGTGGCTATGTCGCTCGAAGCTGCAAAGAACTCAAAGACAAATATAAAATCAATAAAGGTAAAAAGGCTGGAATTACTTGAGTCTGAAATTTTCAACAAAAATATGTTTTGATCAGTCAGTGACATTTGTTTATAAACAGATGGCCTGTACTTTCTGACCACGGAGATCGGGGTGGTCTACCAGACCTACTGTGACATGACCACTGCTGGAGGTGGCTGGACACTGGTAGCCAGTGTGCACGAGAACAACATGTATGGGAAATGCACTGTAGGTGACCGCTGGTCTAGCCAGCAAGGTAACAACCCCAACGTACCTGATGGAGATGGAAACTGGGTTAACACGGCCACATTTGGAACTGCAGAAGCAGCTACCAGCGACGACTACAAGGTACAGTAAGGCGCAGTACAAAGGATAGACTGATAGGGGGTGATTCTGGTCCGGTGCAGTTTCCCAATGTTTTTCAAGTGCAGATCAAAAAGGTGATCAGATACAAGTTATTCAGTGTTCAGTGTCAGGGAAAAGGTGGAAAACACATATTAAAAAGAAAATCACACAGAAGAATGAACAACTAAATCTGATATCAAATGTTTCAGTGTTCAGTGTCACTCTTTACCTTTATTACAGTTTCCATCCCTTTCACTCACTTTCAGTTTCTGCAGGGATATTCAGCCTTGCCTGCATTTTTTTGTTTCACAATCTGATCTGCAAAAGACAAATACAGTGTGTTGACTTAAACGGTTGTTTTGTTGCTGCTAATCTCAGATTACATTCCTCCACTGTTGACGTAACTTGACTGTAAACTGTACCCTCCACCCTGAGATGCTTTGTGAAGGCTTTTTAATTCCGTTTAACGGTCCATCGCTCTTATTTCTTACAGAACCCTGGGTATTACGACATTGTGGCTCAGGATGTGTCTGTGTGGCATGTTCCTAATAACGCTCTGGTAAAACATTGGACTACTGCTTCTATCTTACGCTACCACACTGCAAACCGGATTCTCAGCCTCCATGGAGGGAATCTTTTCAACTTATTCAAGGTAAAACCACAAATATCTCAAATCCAATCTTTATTCTTCCCATATGAAAGGAGCTGGAGAAAGTACAGAGACTGTGTGGGTACCATGTCAAAATCTTAATTAAATCGTTTCTTTTCAAAGAGTGTAGAAACTTTATATTTGGTACAATTGTCAATTGAAATGTGCTCTTTTATATGGTATAAATTGGTAGCCCTCTGTTAGACAGAGATCCATGTATGTGAAATGAAGTCATGATTTTCATTTTTAGCAGGTGATCAACCAGAATAATTCATCACTACAACATAAATGTGTTGAGTAAAGTGAACCGTGTTAAAAGTAAAAATACACAAGTTTGAACAGTGTGGCGACACAAACGGCTACATTTTCTCAAATACATTAGAAGATATACAGGGTGTGTCCCGATACCTAGTGAGCTCTCTGACTACTCACAGCTGTTTAAGTGGGCAGCATTCTAACCATCATTAGACCTTATAAGACATAAATGAGACGCTCTAGTTGGACATAAATGATGTTGCTACACATACATACTGTCACTGTCCAAGAAAAAACTCATGTATCTCTAAAATGGCTACTTTACAGGACAAAGACATTTTTTACTTTTTTATTCCAGGTAATTTTGGAGTATTTCTCCCTTATGGAACTGTGACACAATGTAAAGGGCAGCCTCCGTCTTCAAATAGAGTAGAAAAATAAAAATGAAGATACGTGTTTTCATTTGGGCAGTCATGATACACACGCATACACACCGGTCAGCCACTTCAACTGCACCTTGTTTCTACACTCACTGTCCACTGTATCAGCTCCACTGACCGTATAGTTTCACTCTGTAGCTCTACACTTACAGATGATAGTCCATCTGTTTCTCTGCATACATTGTTAGCCCCCTTTTACCCTGTTCTTCAGTGGTCAGGACCCCCATGGACCCTCACAGAGTAGGCACTATTTGCCTTATCAGCACTGCCGTGACACTGACGTGGTGGTGGTGTGTTAGTGTGTGTTGTGCTGGTACGAGTGGATCAGACACAGCAGTGCTGCTGGAGTTTTTAAACACCTCAGTGTCACTGCTGGACTGAGAATAGTCCACCAACCAAAAACATCCAGCCAACAGCGTCCTGTGGGCAGCGTCCTGTGACCACTGATGAACGACTAGAGGATGACCAACACAAACTGTGCAGCAGCAGATGAGCTATCGTCTCTGACTTTACATCTACAAGGTGGACTGACAAGGTAGGAGTGTCTAATAGAGTGGACAGTGAGTGGACACAGTTTAGAACCACAGCATATGGTAAGTGGAGCCGATAAAATGGACTGGAGTGTTGTACTAAAAGAAGTGGCTGGTTGATGTATATGAGTTTGTATATATCAACATAATTTTCCACATTCTCAGTAAGCCTCAAAATAGCCAGCATCTTCTGTTACACGCAATAAAAGGTGTGGAACAATCCCAGAATGTTTCATGCATCTAGTCTCAGTAGTTCAAAGGTTATGACTTTTTCAAAAGCACTCAGCCTTGTGTTTCCTTATTCATTATGCTTTTAGAAATTTCCAGTGACATATGGAGCAGGAGTTTGTCGTACTAATAATGGACCTACTGCCCCAGTGGTGTACGACTTTGGAAATGAAGCCTCTACCAGAAACTTTTATGGTCCAAACCCAAGAGGTAAGTCAATATCCTTTGATTGCTCGGAACTGATTTTAAATTAATTAATAGTTAATATGAATCTTTTCAGGAGAGTTTGAGACTGGCTTCATCGCTTTCAGAGTGTTTAACAATGAGAGGGCAGCCATGGCGATCTGCTCTGGAGTCAGACCAACTGGCTGTAATACAGAACACGTGAGTTAATAAACTGTCAAATTTCAGAATTTCAGAATTTAAGAGGGTTCCTCCTTGAATGCTTATGCACAATATTGTGGTCATTATATAATTATATATCATAATATGATTTACCTGATTGTTCAAGTGGTCATGTAATCAGCTACAATATATCTACTTTAAGCTATTTCAAAAAATCTTACAAAAACACTTAGATTGTAGCTCAATAATTGGTTTATTTTATGGATATGTTTAATGTGGTCATATTGGGAAAGACGCCCTGGAAGCTGACTACACCTCCACAGAGTTAATTTAACACATCTGCAGCAATAAATGAAATAAACAAACAAATACACAAATACATCTAAAAATCAAAAGTCTACATCTAAATTTGTATCTTCTACGAATAACTCTAGAAGGTTTTCTGCTATCAGGTGACATAGAGGTGTATGAAGATGTTGGATAAATTATTTTAAAAATTATTTTGTTTTGTAGTACTGTATTGGTGGAGGAGGTCATTTCCCAGAAGCTGCACCCAAGCAGTGTGGAGATTTCCCTTCTTTTGACTGGGATGGATACGGGACAAATGCAGGCTGGAGTGCGTCCCGAGAGATCACTGAAGCTGCTGTGCTTCTCTTCTATCGCTGAGACCCAAATCACACATTCAGCTTTCTCTTCTGCTTCTATCATGTAGTAAATTTACAGAATGTAACAATCAGTGCTTTATTACAGTAACTCTGAAATTCATTATGTAGACATAGAAGAAGAAATCAAAGTAAACTGAAAAGAGTTTCCACATCACAACCAGGCACCCAGAAATGAAAAGATTGACCAGCATGTCCAGATTCGTCAGGGAAATTAATGATGTGTTCTACCTACCAGCAGCTCATTACACCTCAAAAATGGTTAAAACACAGGGTGGAATTGTAGTGTATTTTGTTTTGTATTCAATAACTGTAATAAACAGGTGGGCAACTACACATTTTAGCTAAACACTACAAATTAAATTAAATTCCAAATCCTTTGATTTACCACATATGCCTTATATAAACTTCACTCTGAGACTTTCACCATAAAATAAAGTTCAATTCACAACTGAACACCAGTTTAAAGACCTGTAATTTAAAACTGTGTATAATTATTGGACTCTGCAACATCAGGTACCAACTTACATTTTTTGTTTTGTTACCCATTTCTTCATAACCTCATTTGTAACAGGAAGTGTAACCAAATTTATGTAGACACATCTCATCCTGTTATCTGTACTGATCTGGTGTACTCATATTTTCCTGAAAGGTGACTTTCCTTTTGACTTTTTGTGATTCATTCTGTATTTCCTTTAAATCAAATCTTGTGCTCTCGTTTGCATCATCTGTAAGTCAATATATTAGCAGAGTTAAAAAGAAAAACTAAGTGTCTGTGCTTTCACTTTTTTAGTCCTTCACATCTTGACAACTAAAACGTTTGGGAGGTATGAAGTAAAAAAAAAAGGAAGAAAAGAATCAGAATAATAATTCATCAAAAATCAGAATGAAATATTTTTTGGAGTGTTTGTTTATAATTTCATTAAAAGTGTAGACCAAAATGGCATTTTCACTGCAAATAACTCTTAAACTGACCTTTATACTACATGCTTTATTGTTACATTTTACACTCAAAGAAATAGTTTTGATTTTTATTTTTTACTGGGTAGATCGATGCTGTAAGACACCAGCAAAAGACACTGCAGTACTAAAATGTAAGTAAAATTTTAGAATATAAGGAAAACTGTAAAATAATAAAAATGTAAGGGCCCTTGTTGATCTTATTGTGAGCTCTAAACCAAAATGTAAAATTTCACAGTTTGTTCCTCCCTAATAATAATAAGTCTGCATTCCAGCCCACATTTAGCCCAAACTTTCATGCCTGGACAGGCTAGGAACAAGGAAGCTTCACAGCAAAATAAACTAAGTATACAACCCATCACAAAACATGGTAATGTTAAAACAAAAAACATTATTATTATTATTATTATGATTATATCAACAAGATGTATTACTTTTAGTTCATGCACAAAAGCCAAACACACGACTCAGCATGCAGAGGATGTGACACAAACCATAGATTCCCAAGAAAACATTACAATCTTAATTACAGTAATAAGTTAATTATAGCAATGTAAAAAGGTATTTTGCTATACACAAGTAAGCTTATTAAAAACAGATAACATATTACTGTCACACTTCCTGATTCTCATTCGGAATCTCATCCCATTATGCACTACACTTCCCAGAATCCTTCCGTCAGTTACATGACTGCGCCGACCAATTATGAACCACCCAGCAGATCAGTCACCTGATTATTGATTACCATCACTTTTATTGCCTCGTATATAATCTTGTCTGTTTGAACCTTGTCTTTGAAGTACTGCCCCCGATTTGTCAGTACACACTGATCCACTCTTTGTCTGATTGCTGTTCCATTAATGACCTTGAATAATTTCCTCGTCTTTGTCCCTTTGGCTTAGTCTACCTCTGTGTTTGCTTTTTGGCTACGACCCTCGCTTGTTTACTCGACCCCGTTAACGTGTATTGTGCTTGGTTTATCTGGTTGCTGACCTGGTCTCAGTTCATTTTCCTCTTTGTAAACCTTATGTTTTATCTTTTATTTGGGTATTTGGAAGTATTTTAAAATATGGTGTTTCAGTTTGGTTTTGATAACTTTCAACACAGGAGTAAAGGGTCAGCCTGTGCTGCCGGCTGCCAGCAGATAGCTCTAAGTTAGTTTACAGAGAGTAAAAGAGAAGAAAGGAAAAAAGGAGAAAGAGACATTGTTTTAAGACAAGAAAAAAAAGAAAGAAAAGTTATTAAATATTAAATTTACCTGCATCTGTCTCAGCCTGCACTATCTGACCCAACCCTCTCATACATTCTCTGGAACAACTCCTTTCAAGGTTGTTTCACTGGAAATCATAAAGGGTACGCAGTTAGAAATAGAGCTCTATTGTAAATCCACTTTTTATTGCCAGCTGGTACAGGCTACCATCTGAATCAGCTTCATTATTGTTCTGTCCCAGCTTCATTTTGACTGTGACCCAGTCGTGTTGAAATATACTCAAATAATGATTTATGGCCTTCATAAACATTCAGCAAACATTTTACATGAAACTTATTTTAAAAAACATAAAAATATACTTATTTATATTCATTAGAAGCAACCCAATCTGGATAAATCCAAAACTGATTTAATTGAATTGTTTAAGACCTTTTAGATTTTTCCACTAAATCTTTTTGGGAGGGAGAGCGCATATACAATAGTAACAGGAAACGCATCATCAACTAGGAAACTGCTTCAGGTGGCATGGTGGACATGAAATGGCTCTGTTTATTTTTACAGTCTCTGCCATCCTTTGTTATTCAGTGCAACTGCAATGAAATAGTGATGCACATTAACTTAATTTGTGTTTATAAATGTTTTGACCAAACATTAATGTTTCATTTTGCTTATTTTGAGAGATACTCTAGACAAACACCAAACTAGCTAGCTAGCATCCTTGCTGGGTCTGCTGTCATGGCAATGATTTATTGTGAAGCAGTATATAAAGATGTATTCCATTAATATTCAAATCAACAGTTAATAGTTTTTGTAACTGTAGGTGACCTTGACATCTTAGCATGGCATGAAGTTGCTGATAGTGTTAGCTGCTAACCGGCATGATGGTCAGCATGAGAGCTGCACCTCAATAGGAATGCTATGCACATAAACATTTGCTTTAATTAGTAGTTCAGTTAGGCGTGAATAGAAATTCTAAACCAGGGAATTTGATCACAGCTGAAATATATAAAGTTATGTTTATTTCTTTCACATTATACTTTAAAGTTTACATGTGTCTTGTAATGTGCCTCAAATACTGTTTAATACAGTTTAGGCTACAATAAATGTATGTGAATTTAACATGTCATTTAATACATCTACACAGTCTAAGTATTTGTGCTGTGAATACAGAAAGTACTATTACCTACATAAATGTTATGTAAAAGGATTGAAGTCCTACAAGCACTACTAATTTAAAAGCTATTTAATTCATTCAGGTTTATTGAACATGATGGCGAAACTTCAATTATAATACCATTTTTTACATTGGATTTATGTATTTAAATTGAATGGAGAATTGACAAGTAATTAAAATACGTACGTTTTAACTTTTGGGCTTAAATATATTTTGAGTGTAGGGGGCAGCTACCAACAGGGCAGACCTGCCCCTGGGGCAAAAAACCCAAACAGGCCTTTGCCTCACTGCACCTCCTCTTAGTGCAAATATATTGTCTCATTATCTGTACGATCTGTTCCTGGATATACACACCTTCTTTTTGCCTTTGGGGCAATATTCTTAACTTGCATCCATTTGATGGTCGTATTCAATGTAATCTATTAAAAAATTACAAAATATTCTTAATTAATCTATTTGATGGTGATATTCAGTGGAATCTATAAAAAAAATGAATAAACAGTGCTTGTGATTGGATAAAGATAAAGATAACCACACAAACACGTTCCTCTAAGACTGTGGAGGAAACATCTTCTGTAAGTTACTGTCACTGATAAATCTTAATAATCATTAAACATAATTACAAATTCAGTTCCATGAAATTGAATCAAGTATTAATCAAATGTAATCAAAGCGACTCCGTATGCGGTACAATGCAGGATACCACCTGGGTCACAAGACAAGGCAAGTTTATTTCTATAGCACCTTTCATACAGTGTTGTCATACAAAGTGCTCACAGTAAGACATACTACCTAAAGAAGAAAAATCTGGACACCAAACCTGTCTTGGTTGATTGACTAGATCTGGGGTCAGTGGAAAATGGTGTAAATTAGACTTGTAGATCCACAATCAGGACTTTCTCATCTGCAGGAATGATTCTAGAGCATAATTGCTCCAAGTCGGAGTTCAGAAATTGCTATTTTTTTGTTCCTACATGACTTTGCACACCTGTCAATGTCGAATATATATTTATCATTTTTAGTCCACACTGAGATAATGAAGCATATTATGAACGGCAATTTAGCGTTGAACAGCAAACTTTATTTATTTATTTGTGTATTTATTTATTTAATTAGGTCAATGCTCAATCTCAAACTATTTGCTCTATGAACCTCATTTCTGAAAGTTGGGACATTTTGCAAAACGTCAGAAAGACAAGAATCTGTGATTTGTTAATTCTCTTGAACCTTTAACTGGCAAACATACAAAGAAAAGATTTCCAATGTTTTTATTCCCAAGCATGATACACTCACCTGTTACCAATTTACCTGCGTATTGTGGAATGTTTCAAAACTCAACATTGTTGCGTGTTGCGTGCATTAAATTCACTTTTTTTTCTTTTTGTAATTGTCATTTTAATAAAGATTCAAGAGCATCAGTGCATCACAGATTCTTGTTTTTTTGCATTTTACAAAATGATCCAACTTTTCCAGAAATTGGGTTTATATATAAAAAAATGTCTTTAAATATGTGGACAATAAAGAAAGAAGAACAAGCACATTCTCAGTGGAAATAAACACAGACAAGGAAAGAAGCGAAGGGGGAAAAAACAAAACAGAACAAAAACACTCATCTATTGGTGACACTGAATGGCCCTGCATGAATATGGAAAATGAAGAACTGTAATATTAGTCTTCTTGTATAAAAATGAGACAAGGTGTATGACCATTATTATTATTAATGCTGCTTTTATTAGGCAGATGAGACAGAACCTGGTTTCCTCACTTTCAGTGTTCAGTAATGAGAGACCCCCAGAATATCTGCTCTGCAGACAAACCCATACAGGGCCATAAATCACTGCAACACAGAGCAAGTGTAGAATTGGTGTAGTACCCGTCCTCGACACCAGAGGTCAGCCTCACTTGAGTTTTGAACTGTTCCCTAGTAATGCCTTGACTTCATTGACCTGCAGCTCATCTACCTCCTTTTACAAGAACCAACACCGGCTCTCCGTGAAGTGTTGTCAGTTTGTCTGCATACTGAGCTGATTATCCTGTTTGCTGTTCGAATGTCTGGACAGAATTTATCTCTGCTTCTGTTTGTTGCGACATTGGGGTTTGTCCCAAAACCTGGTGATCTCTCCATATAGACTGCATTTTACACCACAATATGTGCTCCCGACAAGAAGGCTGTCCCAATTCTTAGATACCTCAAATATGCTGCCTACTGAGGTATCTTAATTTGGCCAAATATTGAAAGAACATAGGATGGAGGAAATTTTTAATGTTAATCCTGAAATGTGGTAATGCATAAACTAATCATAACAGGCTTTATCTTTGGATTAATTAACTTATTCTTTATTGATAACCCCATTAGAAACCCAGTCCTGTCCTTAAGAATGCTTTATGCTTTTACCTTTTCACAAATTTAAACTT